GCAGCGTGGTCGTATTATGCCATTTCTTTGTTATTGATGAACAGTTGGCACAATTTAGAGAAAAAGGGAATTGAGTACAAAAGATTTTTAGAGGGAGGTTTAGGCGGTATGTAATAAATTAAATGTTAAAGTTTAAGATTTCGCAAAGGCGGAAACTTCCGGAGCCGTAATCTGCAAATTTCATACGTTCTGTGTAATTGGTGGGAACCTCCAAATCTCTTTGCCATTCCATCCATGTGTAGCGCTTTAGGCTAATCGTTAACGGCCCCTCTACGTAAAGCGATCCTGAAGAGTTTGCAAGCTCGAGAGGGCACTCCTTAAATGGTATATTCAAATACCGTTGCACGATGGATGACTTCAAAGATGTCTCAGGTATGATCCAAGAGCATGTGACGAGTGTACTGTAGCTTACATACGAACATTGGATCTCACTGGCCTGTTGATTTTCTGCTTGACAAAGCTTCAATAAAAACAAGATTGCGTTCACATCCGCAAGTTCGACATTGAACCGTAAGGGAGCTTCTTTTGCTGCTTCCAAACTTCGAACCTTGGGTTTTCCTCTGAGCTGCAACCATTTATGCAGACTGTGCCTGACTTTGGACAATTCCCAATACAATGAATCAACGATATGGACATGTCGGTTCAAAACGTTAAAATAATTCTGGCAGATGATCCGCCGTTAGTTTGAAAGACTTGAAGAAAGAAACTTGACATTCCTGACTTTTGCGTTCAGATACGCCAAAATACAACCACCCGACAATGAGCCTTGAAGCTTTTCATCGAGATTCCTTTAAGAGAAACTTGCGCACAATTGATGGACACTATTCCTTGAATGTCTTGCATTGGAACCTCATCCATGTAACTGCTTTGCAAGCAGTGGAAATCATCCATGCGATCTCTGATCTGAATCAACCTTGTTGGAGATTTGATATTCTGTTGAACTTCGTGCAAAACATCCTTGGTGTACAGAATGTAAACTGATACAAAATCATTTGAAACCTCTTTGATCAAACCGTACCGATTTTGCTTGTTTACGTCCAAGAAGGAGATTCCCCTGGCATGGATGGCTGCAAGGCAAAACTCAAATGGCTTGTTTCGTCGTAAAACACACCGGGATTAGATTTCTGTGGCCTATTGTTAACGAACATCCTTTGAAAGAAGAATGGTAGCTTGAGAGTCTGGGGTACACCATTGCCATGTTCGTCGTCCACGTCGTCTGGTTGGGCGACGCTACAAGAAATTCTGATTCTCTCTCGTCCTTTTAATGCTGGGTGTCGTAACAGACTTGGAGAACGCATCTCACTGTCAAGTCTGTTACAGCCGCGATCAGCGACAGACTTATGGAGTATGCGTGAAGAGGAGAGAGAAGCAAGAGGAGAGATGATGCCCCTGGTACCCCAACCCACAATACGGGTCATGGATACAAAAGGAAAAAGAGCGATTTAGTACCATAATCAAAAACTAAAAACATGTAAAATCCAGTGAAAACAACATATATGAATAGACCAAGTCCTGATAACTAACTTTTCTCAATATAAAAATTCGAAACCCAAAACCACCCCATGATACACTAATAACCCCCCTTCGACAACAATGTCAAGAAGCAATGCCCCGACCGATATGGGGGCGGCCTCCTAAACCCTAAACCCTCAGTAATTATTATTATTATTATCATCATTTGAGTTTATTAGACTCTTAGTCAAGAGTTTCATAGCTAAGAACTATTGCTCTTCGCTCATCTCTCGCCTAATGATCCGTCTAAAGGGGTTCCCAACCTTGGGAGGTTGGCCCATTGTGGGCCTATAGGCCCCTTGGGCCTGGTTGCTTCCGTATTAGCTGTTTTCAGTAACGCTGTCCTCCGGGCCCGTTCCAATTCCAATCCCGGTCCCCCTTCTTCCTTCCTGCCCCTAAACCCTAAACCCTAAACCGTCCTAAGAGCGCTCGCCCAGCGTGTATTGTACAGCACTCCGGTTGCTATACCAAGACTCTTGAACTTGCTCGCAGCATCTCTCATGTGCTCCTCAATGCTGGTTTTCCGTGTGCATTAAACTCGGTCTTGAGCAAAAACTGTCTTGTTACAACTAAGGTCGATGTGACGTCTGCGTGACTTTGGACTAGTACAAGTCTAACAAACTTGTATTCCGTCAAGCGAGACGCGACCTGTTTGACTCTCTGAGCGAATGGAGCTCAGAGAGGGTTTAGGGTTTAGGAGCCGGCCCTTAGTAAGAGCAGCCGGCCCTTAGTAAGAGCAGAGCCGGCCCTTAGTAAGAGCACTGAGCCGGCCCTTAGTAAGACTCTTCAGCAGCCGGCCCTTAGACGGTGCGGGCACGGTAAGCCTGAAGAGCAGCCGGCCCTTAGTAAGAGCAGCCGGCCCTTAGTAAGAGCAGCCGGCCCGTAGTAAGAGCAGCCGGCCAGACTGTATGCTAGGATGTGAAACCCAAGCATCCAGACATGAGAGCCGGACCTTAGCAAGACGGCTAGGAAAGTCCCCTCTTCATCCCACGTACTACATGCCGCCTCGCCACGTAAGTCGTCTTGGTTTACAGGAGAGTTTTTGTTAACTCGGCGCTATCTGACTGGCACGGCTGGCATACGTTCCATCCTCCCCCCGAGTTTCTGAAATAGTACGTTACATCGGACGTCAGAAAGTCACACAAACAAGAATGTCAGCAGATCCAAGTCAAGATACGATGATACAACGTCAAGTTCACAGTCATGCTGAGTGGGCAATAACCATTCAAGGATTGTCCATTCTGAAGAAGATTTTCATGCAGGGCTATTAGATGTGCAGTGCAGAGATAAGGGAGATGCCTGGCGAGCTGATGCAACTTGATGACGAGAGAAGGAGGATAAGATAAGAGAGTCTGAGGAGAGAACTTCGGAGTTCAGATAACAGAGAGAGAGAGAGAGAGAGAGCGTGCCCGCCGGCATTTGAAGACCAAAAGATAAATTTTGAACCGTAAAGAACTTGTGACCAGAGATTGCTGCCGCGAGATGGAACATCCGTTTCAAGGCATTCGAAGATTGTTGTGCAGTTGTACCTTGTTCGCCGATCCAGAAGTAGCTCCAGTTATGCATGCCACAGCCTAGCTCCATGACATGAAAACTTCCGCCAGATCTCCTGGTAGTTCCATTTGATCCTACTCAAAGATCAAGAAAAATAAGAATCGAATCAGCTTCAAGTGCGTTTCCACACGGTTAAGCAGATATTCGACCGACCAATCTGGCTGGGGAAAGGCTTGTTTTTCCTATTCGAAGATCAATCAAACAAATTGAGGCTGAGATGAGAGGCCTAAACAACTTGCGGCTAGAAAGAGAGCCTGATTGAAGAGAGGAGTCATCCGAATGTGTAAAGCTTGATAGAATTTGCATGAATTTTCAACAGCAACGGGAAAACAATACCAAGAAAGAAAAAAACTCCAGTAAACAATTCAACTAACCAAATATAAGATCAACATGATTGAGCATGTAATCGGGGCCCATAACCGACGGAATACAAGTTTGTTAGACTTGTACTAGTCCAAAGTCACGCAGACGTCACATCGACCTTAGTTGTAACAAGACAGTTTTTGCTCAAGACCGAGTTTCAAGTTTAATGCACACAAAAACCAGCATTGAGGAGCACATGAGAGATAGACTGTATGCTAGGATGTGAAACCCAAGCATCCAGACATGAGAGGACCTTAGCAAGACGGCTAGGAAAGTCCCCTCTTCATCCCACGTACTACATGCCGCCTCGCCACGTAAGTCGTCTTGGTTTACAGGAGAGTTTTTGTTAACTCGGCGCTATCTGACTGGCACGGCTGGCATACGTTCCATCATCGCTTTCAACGGTAATCGAATCACTCTCCACCTCACTGACCAGATTCTTTTGAGGCTGAGTCACCCCAAGAACCACCAACATCTTGAACCGTCAGTGAAGGCCTCTCACGCCGGCCGGTTCTCGCGGCCAGATTGTCCTCGTACTGATTTTTAAACTTAACTTTGAGTAAACGGTCTGGTACCGTCGGTAATCCCTGCGCTGAAAGTTTGACTAATTTTAAAAGTAAACCCGCTCAGTGCCGGAAATGCTGCAGTCCCGTGCAAGATGAGTAAAAACTGTGGTTCATTTTTTACAAGTTGAGATTTTAAACAGTCGCCATTTACAATGCGTGCTAATGGCAAGTAGGAAAAGGGAGAGGTTTCCAAACTTGATGGAATGAGAGAACGAACACAAGGAAGAAAAACAAGCAGCAGGAGATCTGACTCATCGCTCTAATGTCTCGCAACAGAAGTGGTACGAAAGTACACATTTCCAACAGGTGCTTTTGAGCAGTTGGGTCAGGAGATGGTGTAGGGTAGTACAGGAGAATTGGGATAGACCAAGGGCCATGTCAGAACCAGAGGAATGGATGCAAGCGCCAGTTCGAAGATGCAAGAACATGAGAACAACAGAAACAAAAGCAATCATGACCTTGTGTTAGAAGTGAAGCAGGGACATCTGTCCAGTAGAGGTCAGATAAGGGCAAAAGCGAAGGGTATCGCGAATAATCCTTCTCACACCCCGAGGCTCCTATCAAAGCCTGAGAAAGTCCCGATATCTCACAACGATAGATAGGATACGAGCAGAAGTGAGAAAATTGAATGATTGTATTTTTCTTAATCAAACGATGTCTTTTATCGGCTGAATGGTATCGAGCAGAGAAAACCTCGCAATTCGATATTTTGCGAATTTTGAATCTCACCGTCGAAACACGACGCAAAAGGCAGAAGAAAAGCCCAGCAAGACCCAGAAGTGGTGTACAACTCATGACTCCAAGATTTCACACTTGACGCTTTTGTCCTGCAGGAGGTCTAAAAGAATGCAATACAAGATCGACATCAGACTTCTTCTGCCATGCATTCTTGTTGTTGTGGCCTTCTGGTCTTCGAGCACCCTCATGGAATCTGCTGGCCTGAGATCCAAGTCTGACCTTCAGATCTCGGACCTCATCAATGAAGCAGTCGAACGTGAAGTTAATCGTCGACTTGCTGAAAAGGTTCTTGCTAGACTTCAAGGAAAGATGCTGCTAATCAATCCCCATCAGTTGTATCAGATGAAAGAAGCAACCAACTCAAACATCAAATCTGAATCCGTCTTTCACTTTCCCGTTACAACCCTTTCGCCGCTCAAACGCTTGAGGATACTCGTCACTGGAGGAGCTGGTTTTGTAGGCTCGAATTTGGTTGATCGCTTGATGGAGCAGGTGAACATGTCACATAGCTTATGTGCAATTGATTTGCGGCTAGGGGCATGAGGTTACTGTTCTTGACAACATGTTCACTGGATCAAAGAGCAACATCCAGTGAGATCATGTCGTTTCACCTCCACGATGTAGTTAACCCCCGCTTTAAGACATTGGATTTCTCATCCCAATTTCAATCTCATCAATCACGATGTCACAGGTAAGTGTTGCTTGAGCAATTGCAGGATGAGCACGTCAATCTGAGTCAACCTGATTTTGTCCCTCAGATCCTATCCACTTAGAAGTCGATCGCATTTTTCATCTGGCCTGCCCAGCGTAAGGTGCACACATTGATTTCCTCCAAATTAATCTTTGGTGCTCCAGTTCCCCACCTCATTACATGTACAATCCGATCAAAACAATCAAGACAAGTGTTATGGGGACAATTAACATGCTGGGGCTGGCAAAACGTGTGAGGGCTCGAATCCTCTTTACGTCTACCTCCGAGGTTGATAGAAAGGGATGTAAATATAGCAGCCATCCTGAGATTGAGAGCCAGGTTTATGGCGATCCTACTGAGCATCCCCAGAAAGAAACATACTGGGGGCATGTCAATCCCATCGGGCCGCGCGCATGCTATGATGAGGGGAAGCGAGTGGGAGAAACCATGATGTACGCTTACAGAGACCAGGTGAATGTTCCGATCTCAGTGCCGGTTACGTGACATGCTTTCTGCGAATAGGCTGGAGTAGACGTGCGTGTTGCAAGGATTTTTAACACATTTGGACCGAGGATGAACCCTTCGGATGGTCGAGTAGTTTCAAACTTCATCGTTCAGGCTCTCCAGGTTATCGGAGATAGGAGTCTGTCGTGGAGTACGATGTGACGATACAAACCAGGGCCGAGACTTGACTGTCTATGGAGATGGAAAAGCGACGAGGAGCTTCCAGTATGTTGATGATTTGGTTGCTGGGTTAATGGCACTCATGGAAGGTGAAATCGCTCGAAGACGCAACAGCAATGCATGAATATTTGTTGACAGGCTCGTACGATCGACCTGTTAATATCGGAAATCCTGATGAGTACACGATACGGTGAAAAACCAGAATTTGATGTGAGGCTATTTAACGTTTTGTTTGACAGTCAATTTGCTGAGCTCATCCAGAAATTGACCAAGACCAACAGGTAGATTGAGTTTGTTGATAGCATTTCTGACATGAGGAAAGCTCGATTGTGCATAAACCTTCAACCCAAGATGATCCGCAGCAGCGTAGACCAGACATTACCGTCGCTTCACGAGAACTGGCATGGAGGGTAAATGATGAGTCATGTAGCAAGTCACGTTGAGCTCTTGCACAGCCCAAGACCTCGGTGAAGGAAGGTCTAAGGAGAACAATCCATTATTTCTCACATGAGTTGGAGAAGGTCAAGTTAACCCTTGCAATAACAACCTCTTACACATGTTAACCAGTCTGGTGAGATCAAGACCGTTGGGCCCGGCGAATATGCGGCGGTAACCAAAAAGAGGCATGAGGATCGTCGAGTTGTTTGAGTTTTACCACGATCATTCCATCAGTTTTCAGTGTTTTTTTCGGGATTGAATGCTTGAAAAGCTTATATTAAATCATCTTCATCCACGCCTCATGATTGAGAGGTTCGAATTCCCTCGTTATCTTTTATCAACCACTGGTTATGCCTGCTGCATCACCTCACCATGCGTTATTGGCTCCTGGAGTCTGCCAGGCTCCTCCGGGGGGAGGGACAGAGGCTGCACGACTAGGAGGAGCTCCTTCGTTGCCTCTTGGCCCGAAGTTCTTGAGCGGAGCTGGAGGAGGATGCTTGAAGAAAGTCACCAAGATTAGAAACAGAGTGACCTCGCAATTTACCTGCATTTCTTGCAAGAGACCATGGAAGGCACCATCCGTAGCTATCTTAGCAGCCCACTGCCAAACCTTGAGCCACACCAAGCAAAGAATCTCATGCACGCACCGACGCTGTGTCCTCTATACGGGAAAGAATATCTTTTGGGCAAGGAGAACCCCGTGGACAAACCTTGGCACGAATCTCCTCCGCAACCTGTTGATGAATACCTCAGATAGCACAAGACAAGCATTCAAGCATTACCGGGTTTGCCTCGCATACATTGTGCACATCACAGGTGCGGACGTGCACCAGCTTTCTCATGACCTATACTACCATCACTGAAGCAACTGCGTCTGTCAGTGATGCTTACCAAGTTCTGTACGACGGGCTTATATTTTTCAGGATCAGTCTGCCAGCGAAGGACAATAACCGGGTGAGAGGTAGGATGCAACAAGGAGAACACGAACTTTCAGGATGAGCATCATGCCATCATGACCCGGTTTCGTAGGATGCGTTCTTGCCCACTTGGCCACTGAAATACTACAAGTCACAGCAGGAGTGCGAGACTTCGATTCAACGTTTACCTTGCTCAATCAGATAGTTCTGGGCCCAGTGGATCGCAGGCTGCGTCATGATGTTTTTCAAGTGCAGCCGTTGATGAGCTGCCCGAACCTTTCTCGCAGTTTCAGAAACAAAAGCAGTCAAAGAGACTTGACACTTGTCCCGCTTGCACAGTAGATTCGGAAGCAGAAACAGGTTGATGTAGCTGTATGATGATTAGTGAAGTAGCAGAAGCAGGGTCTAGGTGCTTGCCTGTTGTGTATGCGCATCTGCGTCATGTGGAGATCCCGTCAGCTGCACGCAAGCGTATATGATGATGGCAATGGCTACGGCGCCCATCCCGAGGTAGACTCTGAGCTTGCTTGAGCCTTTCCCCTGCCCGAGTTTTCACGGTTCACATTTCCACGAGAGCGTTCACACCTTAATTTCATCTGTTGAGTCTTTCATCTCTGCCCAGGTGTCTTCGGGAGCAACAGGTCCTGTCTCTGCATCAGAGCCACCAACATAAATCATCCTGAGCTAAACATCTCTTAGCCGATTTCAACTCGCTCCCTACTCAAGCTTATCGTTTCTCCCTTGTTTTCCACCATGCTACCGTATCCTAACTTTTTCTTCTTTCCTATTGCGGACGTTGTTCATGGTTGGTTCGCACTCGCTGTGTCTTCATAGTCTTACCTGCTCGCTCCGGTGCGAAGCTGCCGTACTGCACCATGATGACGGGAATAGACACCAAGCACGATTTTACTAACCCAAAATCAGTTACTTTTAAGTTGACTAAACTAAATGATTAGAGCAAGGGTAAATGATTCATCTAAGATTCTATCATGATTGAGTATTACTTTTACTTAAGAAACCAGGTATTCGGACACACCGTCCTGATTGTCCTCGTACTGATTTTTAACTTAACTTTGAGTAAAGATCGTCTTGAACTTAGCTTTGAGTAAAGTCTGACACCGTGGCACTGCCGGCCACGCCGCGGCTGACCGGGGCCCGGGGCCCGGCGGCCACTCAGTGACCGTCAGCCGGGCGGCCCGTGTCACTGGCACCCACTGGCCTCGGCCTGACTCAGTGATCATAGCCTAGTACGGTAGCGCGCGGCGGCACTCCGGGTCGCGGGACAGCATGCGGCCCCACACCACCGGCTGGCCGCACGGTCTCACCGTTGAACAGTTTACTATGTCAGGGGCCCGGCCACTCACGGTGGCCGCCGTCCGGCCCCCCCGGACTCGGGAGTCAGCACGGCGGCCGCGGGGACCCGGCGCACCATCATCGGATAACGCTATGCGGCGGCACGGTCGGGCCGCCGGGCCGTGCATAGCCGCTGACTCTGTGAGCGGCCTGGCACTGCAGCCGATCCGATGATCGGTACCGTGCCACGGCGCCGGTATTAGGCCGGGCGGCCGCTGCCTCAGGCTCGTTACAATAGCCTGGTAGTACTAGTAGTATCCTGACACTCAGAGTTCAACACTGAGTGACAACTGTAATGAAAACTTCGGACTTGGCATTGCCGCCGCGATCATGAACGAGCCGCGATAATGAGCGAGTCCGTTCCAGTTCCAGCCGGCAGCGGCAGCATGAGCTGAGCCGTCGGTCGCCTGCGGCAAAGACAACTTCCGTTCCCCGGGCCCTCCTTACATCTTCAAAGGCTCAATGACATCCTCTGGATGGACAGAACCAAAATTTTTGGCAGACATCACAATCTTGGGAGGTTCAAACTTCGTGCCATACCAGAAAGGCGGTGTATCTCCTCCAAAAATGGGATCCATGGCCAGTCCCCAAATCGATTGCTTGAGTGCGGAATATGGTGAGCATGCTTTGCACAGGAAAGAAAGTATTTTGACTCGCTGTGTCTCAGTTGCAGCCCCAACCTCAAAGGTATCTCCGTTCTTGACCTCATCTTTACCTCCAGGGCAAGGGGGCGTGAGTGCAGCAGGTAAGCAACAAATGCACGGGTACAAAACCGCAGGCAGCTGCATGGGAAAAGCGTCGAAAGCAACATGCCAAGTCCCGAAAATCTTCTCCAGGGCTGGGACTCCAAGTGTAAGCTCACAACCAACTGCCTTGCACGGGATCTCCGGGCCCATCTCACAGATCTGGTCACACTTCTGACAGATTTCACAAACTGGCTTGCAAGGACCCCTGCAATTTGCACAAATCTTATCGCAAAGAGTGCAATCACACTTGCATGGTGTACATCCACACATGCACTTGCAACAAGCAAAGCAGGGGCACTTTGCAAATTCTCCGTGCACATATCTTGGAGCCATGAAAATGGGAAAGTCATCCCCGCACGGCTTGCAGTCTGGTACTGTTTCCCCTGATTTGCTCTTGTAGGGCATCTTTGAAGCAGAAAACTAGGTTTTTGGCAAAACCTGCATACCAAAGTCAGAATCAATACCGCATAGTGATGATCAGTGCAGAATTTTCTTTGCATCATCTTTTAGTTTGTGAATACCTTGCTCCTTTTATCACCATCATTCGTCCTTCGATCCATTTCTTGCTTCTCTTGTTTTCCTAAATTTGTCCTTCCCAACTCCGAACCTTCCAACCCTTTCCCTCCTCACACAATCATCTCAAAAACCTATCATCAACGAACGTGTATCACTGCTCCGGCTCCTACGCCATTCAAGTATCCCTCTTGTCCACTACCCACCCCCTTGTATAACTACCCCACCATATCGACCACATGTTCTCAACCCGCCAGACATCCTGGCAAGTTTGGGGACTTTGATTGACTACCCTCCCCCCCACCCCCTGTCATAACGCCATGCCCCTGAGCTTCCGCTCTTCGTGCTCAGTGACAAAAAATTGTTCGGGGTCCCATACCACCACTAGGTTGGGTAGTCTGCGCGCTCTGAATTTGTGACTGATGGTGGTCACAACACGCGGTCACCAAAATATAAATCTCAAATATTTAACTAAATGTTGAAAATTGAGATATACATTTCATATTTCTTCCTAATTTTGTTTGACAAAATTGAGCAAACGAAGTCCTGCCCACCAAGGTTTCAAAATGTACCACCACCCCACGGAAGTTTGTGGCTAAGGGCCTCTGATAAAATGACCCGATGTACCAAAATTATAACGTTTTAAGAAATTACTCAAGTTACGGAACTTGCGCTGGGCAGTAGCCTACTGCGGTACACATTTTGCGAGAAACAGTTACATTGATTCAAACTGAAGCATGAAGCCAAACCGTCCGATCAATACCACTGTGCTTCCTTTACTACTGCTCTTTACTCAAAGTTAATAGATCTTTAACTTAACTTTGAGCAAAGAGACCAATCAAAGTAACTTCAGTTTAGTACTACTGTAGCCGGCGGCCAAAGTTAAGTTAAAAATCAGTACAAGGACAATTAGGAGAGCAGAGGAGGCTTGACCAGGCTGATGAATCTGTAGAAAAGACAGCGAGAACCAAACCCCATCCTGCCGAGACAGTGTGACTGCTGCCCCCCTACACCGAGTAAGTAGTAAAATAAGTCAGTGCGCCGTCGGATGGCCGGATGAGGCGAGGCCCACGGCGTGCAAGTGAGGCGGGCGCGGCAGCAGAAAATTTCATTGCGACCTGTGATGGTTGGTAACCAAGCAATAACTGGGCAATCACAATTTTACTCAGCAACAATATGATGCGATGGGCAAGTGATTCGATGGCGAGCTTTCATCGTGCATGCTGTACTTCCGTTCTTGTCCTATCTTTGTTCTGCACTGCAACATTAAATCAAGGATTCGGTGATCAATGTCCAAGCGCAATCACTGGAAGCGGCTCGAACTTGTTTCTCAGAGGAGGAGTCCTTCGTCCGGAAGACCTTCAACTAAAGCTGGAAGGGCTACAACAAGCAATTAGAAACCACATGGAAGAGTCCAATCGTGTCGACATTGCGGCAGGTAGGAAGCCCAAACTTGTTCCGTTCGAAGAATTTTGCGTGGAAAGAAACATTGATCTCAAGGAAATCGATCGCCTTGTCGAAGAGGTTGAAAGAGATTATGACCCAAGAGACGCACAAAACCTCAGCAAGATGCTGCCACATGGTGTCATCCCTGATGAATTTGCAGGATTGGCCGAAGCGAGGGTGAATTGCCCTTCTTGCCCTATGTCCTGGTTAACCAGTTCACGTCAACACAGGAAGTGCGCAAAGCTTGGATCGAAGAGACACTCACGGATGAAGACAAGACGGTGGCTGACCCCATGGAGATCCTCTCGTTTTGTGACGTTTCTCGTGCAGAGACTAAGGGCGGAAGGAAAAGGAGGCATGATCCCCTCCTTTTTTTCCCTCTTGCATGTACCTAAGCATCAGCTTGTCGAAGAGTTGCTTGCTATGGCTTCCTCGCATAACAACTATTGCAAGGATGCAGATTGCAAGGTCATTCGCTTTACTGCTGATAGCCGCCTGATGCAAACTTTCCAGGTTAGCAAAGATATCCCCGAGGCAAATTTGAGGCATATGTTTCTATCAATGGGTGATGCTCAAACCTGTATCAAACTCAAATGATTCTCAACGCTTACAGACTACTGGAGTGTCCAACGCTTACATGAAGATTGGGACTCCCATTTTGATAAGAAATACGAAATCAATTCTCACACGTACAGGGTGATAGAAGGGCATCGAATCAGTGACGGTCAGCTTGTAAACTACGTGCGAAGCAAGGGATTCCTTGTCACACCTTGCAAACTTGATTCAAAGATACCATTCTGCAACCTCTGTCACGATGAATACCATGCTGATGAGCAGATCAGTACTGGCAAGCGAAACCGAGACATTGCAAAGAATGGCTCCTTCTTAATGATCCCGGACCATTACAACGATTTCCTCATGCTCATGGAGAGGAGCTTCTCACGCACTTTCTGGGATGACGAAATCACTCGTGGGTATGGATGAATCCTCTCACGCATTGCTGTGTTTTCCTCTCACGCATTGCTGTGTTTTTAGGTGGAAGAGGAGGCAAGTCTTCGACAAGGTAGAGAAGCAATATAATCTTTCTCGTGAATTCAAGCGAGAACCGTGGTGGTGCAATTTGCTTGTGCGAAAGGGAATTTGGGATTGGGACAAACCTTCCAACTGCTTGTGGACAGAAGGAGTGGTTCTTATGGCAAAGGTGAAGAGTGGACGTGGGAATCAAACTTTCAAGGGAGATGTGGACAATGAAAAACTTCGGGAGCACCGGAGAAAGTACAATGGAGCACTGCAGCCTCCTGAGTTGCTTTTCGTAGAGCGCAGAGGAATCGGCCAAGAAGTTCCTGTTCTGAGAGGAGCGTGGAGGCTTGATGAATTCACCAATGGAACCTTCATGGATTTGATCATGTCAAGTAACAAAGACGTGGAGAAGATTAAAAATGAAACGGAGGTGGACGAAGAGGTCGTCATCCAGCCTTACACCTTCATTTGCTGCGATGGGCCCTGGGAGTTTCAGAGTTGCGACGTCCGCAGCGTGAAAGGAGTTGCTTTCTTTGCGACCTCACCTGGAATGCCTCCGATTCACGGAAAAGTATGCAGGCATTGCAGAGAATATTCCGGCGCTCAAGATGAACCGAGCGAGGAAGAATACAGCGAATTCGTTCCGCCATTGCACTTGAGCGAAGAAGATGCAGCAGAAAATGATGAGAAGGAAGGCGAAGCGCCGATGGACATGGAGGAAGATGGATTTTCCTTGCCAAAGCAGGTTCATGCCATCGAATGGAAGAATGCCAAGACTAGAGGCAACTCCTTTCCTTCCGACCTAGCATTGCAACACAAAAGGAAACATCTCGACGAATGGCCCCCTTGCTATTTCCGCGAGCCCCCGCGAATATCCAACGTTTCCTTCAAGCTCTGTGCAATAGGAGGCGAAGGGGACTCGTTCATGACGAGGAGTATCGTGGGTCTGCACGTGATCCTATCCCTTGGTCGCTTGCTTCCTGTTGAGACTGGTCGCAGGTTGATCGCTTGTCGATCGTGCGAATGAATGAGTCGTGTGTGGAGGACACATACAGTGGTGTCATGCTCTATGACAGCTCCTCGTGCGACATGAGCGCATGTCTTCTGCAGCGAAACGGAGTGGCGCTGGCAATTGCTGAATGCGCTGTAGCTCGTGTTGAGAACTGTAAATTTGTGGATCAGAGGCAATCAGTTTTCTGCACTGTGACACCCCCTGTGATGGTGAGAGGAGAGCAAACCTTCCTCGCTCTCATCTGTCTGCTTCACAGGTCAGCAAGTATGCGGTCGATGGAGGTCCCTCTGGGTACGGGACGCTCTCTAGGCCCGAGTACGGAGTTGGGAACCTGCTGGGTGCCAAGCCTGAGTTTGTCAGGAAGCGTTTGTGAAACGATTGAAGGCCTGCTACTGATGAAGAACAGGTGGGATGAGACAGACATGAGCCTGCGACTTCCTTCCATGACGCTTGTCAGAAACAAAGTTGACGACTGTGAACAAATCTCCTAACACAAGCTACAAGTGCTTTCTGACCTCGTGCCACAGCTGCAAGGTTGTGGTGGACGGCTGATCGACCTGTTCATCTTCGTGGAGAGCATGATCTTGTTGGAAGGTTTGAGGCAGCCTGACCCTCTGATTATTGACGTCAGAGACACGTCGAATGCGACTGCAACCGTATAGTCTGCGATCTTGAGTGTGAACGTGTGTTTCAATGTTTCATTGTGTGTCAACCAGGTTTATAACTATGGTGTGAGTAGCGGAATGCATGGAAAGAAGCCATCCAGGAAGAAGGCTTGACGAGTTTAGGAAGGGTATCAGTCTTATGCTCACGGCCATCAAATTGCTCAGTGTCTGAATGAATACCTTGTGCTGTTGGGATCCGTGCAGGGAATTGCTCCCTCCTCCACAAAGACAACGATTTTGAAGCGGAAGACACCAACTTTGACCCGACGCCATGGTGAGACGAGCAAGCAATCCGAAGCAAGTGACTGTTTTTCTTGTTCAGGGAGATCCGCACCGATGACACCATGAAGTTGCTTTTGAAGCTCCAAGACAAGAAGGTCCAGGAGCCTTGCATTGTTTGACACTGCATGACCGTCATTGCAGTTGATGCCGTGGCAAAGGGGGGCAATCGAAGAGTACAAGGCGAATTTGAAGATGTATCAAGACAGAATGAGAAACAAAGAGATGGAGAGGAGGAAGATGGTGAGTCTTTTCTAGTCCTAGAGGCCGTACAGCACTTGACATTCTCCTTGCAGCTGGAAGGAAACATGGAGATTGATACTCCTCTTCTCAAGAGCAAGGGGTGAAGGCGAATGTGCTCAGATTCAGGTTTCATCTTCATTGCTTTTCTGCTAAGCTGCTCTTCAGCTTATAGTAGATCAAATACGCAGGGTAAGCGCAGGCGCCATCAGGAATGACGAAAGTGATTGGTTCTTCTTCGCTGTCAGCGAGAGAATGAATCGTCTTTGCTCCCTTGCCGCTCTGCTGTTTGATGATCGGTGGCGTGAGCTGGGAATGACCAGCGTCAATCCTTCCTACAACCACCCGAGCCAGCAACAGCCTCTTGATTCCATCCTTGTCCGCAGCCACCTGGTCGTCTACAAACGTTGCTTCCTTGGAGAAATAAATTCCGTTGCCGTATTTGTTGTCTTTGCCGTCACGAAACATGAAGGGATGGCTGCCTTTGCAGATTCTATCTATACTCTCGTCTGGAAGCTGCAAATAAAAAAGCCATCGTTCATGTTCTGTTTCGTTGAACTTTCCTGAATCAAATTCTTTTTTTATGTCGTTTCTCTTCTCCATGAACTTTTCATGCAAGACAAGATTCTCGCAGCGGTAAACTTTCACCACCTTGAACTTTGCCATTGTTCGCATAAACTCACTCGTTATCAGGTTGTTTTCTATGCTTGTTTCTGCCAACTGCAACATGCGTCAGCCCCTCAGCCTTGTTTCCTCCTCCTTGCCTTTTGTAGTTCAGGTTTTGCACCTTCACTCCGCCAGTGAAACCTGTGATACATGATAAGATGAACCAAATCTCCACCAAGTCCACCACCTGCAGTACAGAGCAAGGATGGCATTCTGAGAGTTCAAGATTCTTGATTCTCTCACTAAATTTTGCAGCTGGACAGCAGGAACCAAGCTTGTCTTCTCTGCCTCCTGCGCCATTGAAATCAAGACGCTCGTCTTGTCATTGCAAGAGTTCAAACCTTCAAAAAATCCCGGATCTCATCCCTTGTTGCCATATCCTTGGGCAACTCTCCATTTTTGTTGGCAACGTAGATCAGTGATGGACTGGTGTCGATGAGAATTTTGAGCGACAACAATCTGACATCAAATCATGATGTATTGGCAAACATTGGATGAAGTATACCTGTTGTTTCTAACGGCATCGTGCGCTGCACTATCCCCATTGTTGTCGTTGATCATCAAAGCTGATGGGTCTCGTTCTGCGATTATGTTCCTGCGAGCAACTCAATTCTTTTCTTCTTGTTTCTTCCTGCAGTACAGTATTCCTTCATGGCCATTTGCTGCCGCAAAGTGGGCAGGGGTAGCGCCGTGAATCTCCTGTGCTGCAAGCAGAGCCGGAACCTGAGAATGAATCAGGAATAGAACGATTGCCGGAGATACCATACACGATCCGCTACAAAGCTCAGAATGTTTTCGAATCCTCTTCTTGCTGCCCAATGCCTGGAGCAACAGTCAATCAAGCATCACTCATGAAGGTGATACATACGCGACTGTCCACCCTTCTTGCTCTCGCTCATTCAAGCACTGAAGGCAGCGATCAATATGTAGAGCATGACTTCTAGAGTCACCTTTGGGTCTTCGAGAGCAAACCGTTTGATCTCATCGTACCTTGAATGGAAACATTGTTAACAAACCCTCGGGAATTGGTCCACCTTGTATCTCAACCTTCCATACATCGCTGCTTCAACCACTGGGTGCATGCCTTGTTTCGCGTCCTATGTTCACATTGTTAACATTCACTTGAACTACTTCCATCCTCCCACCACCCATGAGACGAAAGCAGACAAGCCAGGAGTTCTTGCAGCCTATCAGAATCTCCTTCCCCTCCTCCTCTCACTCTTTCGCCCCGTCTCTCTATCTCTGCATGACCCAACATGTCTAGCCCTACTTCTCCCACCCCTCCTCCCCTCCCTCTCTCCCCTCTCTCTCCCCCCTCTCCCCTCCCTCTCTCCTCCGTCTCCTTCCTCTCCTCGTTTCCTCAAGCTCACCTTCATGCTTGCAGGGCGACAAACAGCCTGAGCCGATACTGGAAAGTTCGGTCCAAGACCCCACCCACCCCCCTGTGGGACCACCCAACACTTCACCCTACCCTCTATCCCTCATTCCCCATGTGTATCACCCGTCCTTGCTAGTAATTTGCCTTGCTATTCGATGAGGTAGGGTCTGTTGGTGTCAGCATGGCGAGGAAAGTTTGTGCTATCATAAGGCAGCAAGCAGGCGAGGGAGAAGGAGGAGGTGAACAGACGAGAAGAATGTGAGAGGAGGTGAACAGACGAGAAGAATGTGAGAGGAGGTGAACAGACGAGAAGAATGTGAAAGGAGGTGAACAGACGAGAAGAATGTGAGATACGAGTTGGAGGGAGAGGGAATAGGGAGCGGAGATAAAATTGATGAGGAGGGTTGAAGGTGGGAACAGGAGAAACGTTCAAAATGCTACATGGCGCAGAAGATGTGTGCAGGAAGGAACGAGATAGATGGACGAGGACTAAAGGTGCAGCGGATTTTGTTCATGGGTGTGAAGAATGAGACGGTATAGAAAAATGTCTTCACATGGTGGGTCTTAGAAGGGGGACAGATTGCAAGATGTTGAACTGCATGCATGAACAATGATCTCTTGTTTTCGAACAGATAATGGCGTTAAAGCCTGTTGTGGTACCTGCTCTTCCAGTACATCACCGAGTTGTCTGAAGAACCTAATTATGGGTGCATTACGTTGCCTTGGTTTCATCGTCGTCATAACAAACTTGTTTGCACTCTCCCGATCCCAATTTCCCGTCCTTCCCATTCCGGAATTGCCTTTGACGCTTCGAAATCTCACGCAGCAGGACGGAGCTGGTGCCTTTGCTGGGCTGGACACGAACTCGCCATTCTTGTCTAACGCCGCCATCGCTTCGCTCTTTGATGCCGTTCAGAGACCTGCAGCTCCTGAGCCCAATGTGAGGTCGACGAGGAGCGTCGCCGTGAGTTACTACGACACCGTCAACTTCGGAGGGCATGTCTTGTCGGAGCTCCGAGACTCTCTCTCTTTCGATTGGTTTCAAGCTCTGCCCGAGCCTTTCAGCTGGCGCTTCTCCCCGCAGGCCTTCAGCGTCAGAATGCTCTCCAGGCTTGTCGTGCCCGCAGACGTCAGGATCAAGTTCGTTGCGCGTGCCGGAGGTCCTGTCGCCGTGTACCTCAACGAGGAGAGCGGAAAGAGCAAGATCGTGGTTGATGGATGGAACGTAGACAGCAGCACTTCGGCTCCCATCCTGTTCGATGGGATATCGGCCACTAGAAGATTCATTGGAGGCAAATCAACACTTTTGAAAAGGGGGATGCGATACACGATGATTGTAATTCACAGCACTGAAGAGTCGTTGAGCATCGAGGATAACAGATTTCGTATGCTTCAGGTAGCAATGACGGGTGACAATAGCAACGAGGTCATTCCTATACCCACAGGATGGTTACAAAACTTGATGACAAGTGGATTTGGGGGGGGGGGCATATATGCATCATTTTACGGTGCAGTGACATCACGGGAGAGAGGACTTGAAACCTCTTCTTATTCCACCATCATTCAACCAACGTTCTCGTCTCCAAACGTGCTGTGGTCCCCCGGGGCGAACATGCAAGAGACTCTCTACAGCGCTCGCTTGTCTGCCAGTCTTGCCCCTCAAGAACGGGCGACTGTGAGACTTGTTGTAGTGTCAGCTCAAGACCGGAGTTATCCCTACCTTCTTCCCCGCCTTTGGATTAACCGGAGGGAGGTCAACCTAGAACAAGTCACTGACTCTTCCTTCTGTGCAAACATCGAATCTCCAGTCACATGCTCCCGCGCTCGTGCCGTCAGCTCTGACATTCTCTTCGAGCCTGGAGCTCCTTTGCAAGTGGACGTGGAGATTTATAATCAGGTGGCGGAAGTTTACGACGTTGAGCTTCTGTTGCCCTTCTTTGTTCCTTTGCTACCTCCTGTTTCTCCAAACCCAGCAGGGGATGTTTCTTCTCTCTCTTTCTCGGTCAACTCCTCCTCGTTGAATCTCAAAGTGCGATCGTCTAGTTACTTTGGGATGAAGTATGAGAACTCGAGCCTCTTTCGTTGCCTCTCGCAGAAAGCTTCAGTGCCCCTTGCTGCGCTTGAACAGTCCCGCTCTCAATCCGCGGGATGCGGGCCATCGAATCAAAACTTCTGGTTCTCGTCCAACATCACGGACAGCATTGTTCTGCTCGAACGAGGAGGCTGCTTTTTCTTGCAGAAGACTTTGGCGTCACAACAAGCTGGCGCGCTGGCAGTCATCTTCTTCGATCGCGACGACTATCGGCAGCCGATGATCCTCCTCCCTCCATCCTCAGGCTCCCCCCCCATCTCCATACCAGTCTTCACTATGGCGAGACAGGATGCTCTTGTCTTGCTGTCTGCTCTATCAGTAGATGGAGCTCAGCTGACTCAGGTAACTCCAATCGACACTTCAGTCCCGTCACCTTTCCTCCTGCTGGCCAAGAAGGATACCGAGGGTAAGTATCTCCCAGCGCAGTTGATTCCCACACACCTTCTCTCTCCAACAGGACTTGGCGGATTCTTCTCGACATTCTACTCGATGAGGACGAATTTCAATCAGAGTATGATCCAACCCATGATGTCCTTTGATTCAAGCTCGCCCGCCTCCATTCAGACCGCGGGTTCCTCTTTCTTGACCGACAACCGCGTCTTTGCGGAGTTTGGAGCATATCTGCTCCCTCCTTCCTCTCAGGAATACGAGTTTTCATTCAACGGGGATGGATCCCTTGAGATCTGGATCGACAACAACCTGGTCATATGGAGGAATGATCGATTCTCTCCACCGCAGACTTTGAATGCACAAGTTTATCTGGAGAAGGATGTGCCGGTTGCGATTGAAGTCAGGATTTACTTCGCAGCCTTCGAGTCTAAACAGAATCTCTTGGCGACCTTGATGTGGAGAGCTGCTTCTTCCACGTGTGAAGGACCTTTGTGCTCCTTCAACTCCATCCCTCAGCGCTTTCTCCTCCCAATCCCCTGCATCGCGGGAAGACAACTTGTGCAGTATAACAATGATGCTCCTCAGCTGTTTTCGACTTCTTGTATTTGCCCGTTGGACAGGCAGGTAGCAGGAGAACGTCACTGTGCAGATATCCGCAGCTCCTCCTGCCTCATCTCGGTCTTCCACGAGCAACCTTGCGAGTCAAGCTTCGGGAGGATGAGGTATCTAGCGCAGCTCAACGGCACTCCTCCCTGCCTCATTCTCCAGGCCGACGAGATCCTTTGGCTCAACCTGTCTATCGCCTGCAAGTTTGACGACTTTCCTCGTCCCGCTGGCGCTGCAGCCCCGACAGGCCGCGTGGAGGCAGAGCGGGACAAGTTCAGATACCGCCTGTACATGGACGACGGGAGCTTCGCCTCCAGCTACGAGCTGGGTATGTACCTGCAAGTCACCGCGTTCGACTTCTACCACCTCGGAAACTTCTCCGACATAGTGAAGGACTTCCTGATCGATGAGCGCGTGCTCTCGCAAGGCAAGCTCGTCCTCCAGCAGCACCTCCGCGACCACAACCTCGGCTCCGACTTCTTCGCGGGGGGTCGCCTCTACACTGAGGCTTCTCTCGGGCAGAGGCTGCCGACTCGCTCGCTGCGGCTGGCGAGAAATATTCCCGTCGTTGCTGACCTGTCGGTGGAGGCAAGAGACATCATCTTCTCTCGGCCGTGGATCTCCTGGAGTACAGCTGGACTCATTGCTGGGGTCCTCCTCTTCTGTATCCTCTGCCTCTGGCGCTACCGAGCAGGTAAAAAGATGAAGGTGTGATGGCAGAATGACAGCAGAGCTTCTGTTTGTGTCAAGGTGTAAATGTACAGACCCGTTTATCTAGAACATCACATGGAAATATTGTAATACACTTCCTCGAACAAGTTTGCCGCGTTGGCACCCTATTGTGTATCTAATGGCGAGGCTTCTTCACCTTCCTTCTTTCTCTAGTCATCTCAGCGTTGGAAGAGGAGGCATGCGAGCGCTTGAGGAGCTGTTGAAGAAGAATGAGCAGATTCTAAGCATGGCATTGCAACAGGGAGAAACAAACAAGTCATCAGGCGATGACTAGCGAATCAGGGTTGAGATGCGATGAGGATGATACAGAAATGTCGATACCCCAAGCTCTTGTCAATCTTGTCTTTCCACTGTTGCTTGGCCCGCTCAACGTCTATGACTCGTCATTCCAGGTTCTCCCTCACCTCGCAATGCTCACCGTTGAGACTATGTCGCCTCAAGCTTTGCTGGCGTGTGATGGCAGCCTGAAATGCAATGAGAGCTTGCGCAAGCGATCTGACAGCAACAAGAAACTAACGGTAGGTTGCAACTTCTTGGGAGACAATGATAGGGGAGAGAAATGCGCAAGAAGTGAGCAACCAAAAACAGGAGCAGATAGAGAAGAGAAACGACAGGCAGAGAAAGACGAGGAAAGGTTGCGAGCAAGTCTCAGTCAACCATCAAATGGTAAGATGTGGATGAAGCAACAAACCTGCTGGATGAAACTCTCATCCTCGAGCAAGTGCTCTTTCAGCAGCCTGCACGCAATCAGCTGAGGGTTTGAAGCAGAAGATCGATTGACCTCAAGTCCCTGAAGGAGCTGGAAGGCAGCGGAAGTCTCTCACCCTGATCTTGCGTCTCAGAAAAACTCTACTCCTCCTCCTCCTCCTCCTCCTCCTCCTCCTCCTCCTCCTCTTCCTCCTCTTCCTCCTCCTCCTCCTCCTCCTCCTCCTCCCCCTCCCCCTCCTCCTCCTTTCTTGCTTGCCCTGCCCTCAATCCACTCGCTTACGCTTTTGAATCGGACAAGATGCCGAGGGGATTGGACCGCATTCTTCACCTGCTCCTCATCGTCAACGTCCTTAGCGGGCAATGTCTCTGACCGTTTGAGGAGGATGAGGATGAGGCGGCGCCTCCAGTCTTCCGAGCTCCGAGAGCTTGTCCACGTCGATCACTGCAAGGATGATGAGAAGAGGAAGGAGGAGGAAGGGGACGAGGAAGGCAGCCACATCACCTCGCAGCTCGTACTCAAACATGCTCCTTCTCTTTCCCTTGAGCAGAAGCGCCTTAAGGTCTTCCATTCCCTCGCACCCTTGCATGCTCACCGGCACAACCTGTCGGTTCTTCCTCTTCGCCGCATGATCACTGAGCTCTCCTGCCATGATTTCAACTTGCCGCCTTTGCCACGAGCTCCTGCATTGCTCCCCCAAGCTACCTGACGCTTCCGCTCCCGCCTCACTACCCATTCCTCCATCATGTCCAGGCCTGGCGTCCTCCAGCTCTTCACTGCGCGCATACGTCAAAACTGAGTACAGCTCAGGCGCAGAAACCTTGCACTGAAGGTGAGCGAAGGGAGACGGTTAGCAACGATTCGATTTCTCAGCTGCTTTTTCAGCTCGAAATCGACCGGTGTGAAAGCAGAGGAGGGCGAGGAAGGAGAGGAGGGTTCGATCAGGGTCAAGTCAGGGTCCTTCCTTCCCGCCTTGCTGCCAACATTGGCGACCAGATTGGCTTGCATCCAACGCAGACATCGATCCGCCTCCTCGTCAGTCGAGCTTCTCACTTGTGCCAAGGAAGAGAAGCAAAAGACGGTGGGAGGATGAGAGATGTTTGCTCCGGCTGACCTTGCAGCCTTTTGCAGGGACCAGCAACATCAGGACGGCAGGCAGTTGAACGAGAGCAACTCACTGGATAAGTCGTGTACCAGTCGCGGTTCATGTCTCTTTCAAGATCTGTGAGGAACCTGCAAACATTCAGAGAATTGTTGTCGCAGCATGATCGCGTCACTTCTCCATTCTTCTCTCAAGCTCTTCATGTGCGACTCTCACATCCTGATATGATGATGAAAACTCGAACCGGCAGGCAAAGCATCACCGCAGGGAAGGAGAGCAGTGCGTTTGGGTCTTGTTTTGAGAGCTCAAATCGGTAGAACTTGAGGTGCTGATAACACCAAGAGCAATCAACTTGCATCTCATGCTTCGTCATTACTCACCTTCATATCATACACGTCCTGTCTCATCTCCCATGAGACTCTCAGCTGAAATTTTGTGATCCGTCAAGTATCAGTGAGGTAGCGATAAGTGATCAAACCCCAAGATGATCTATTTCGTCGCTTCCTGTTGTTGTGTCAAGTCAGAAAGAGGGTGACAATCGATAAGATTGAGACAGATAGTATAACGATCAAAGAATGAAATGTATGAGCCATCACCAAGATTCAAAAACTAGGATGCATAGAGGAAAGCCGGAACATGAGGGACAGACACAAAGTACCAAAAGGTGAAGCTCCTCGTTCTTCGAAGCATTTTATCTCTTCTGTTTGGCATGCAGCAGGACAAGAGGATAACAAATTCCTTTCATCCATGCCGCTTGCTACAACTCCATGCTGCTGCTCCAGCACATGATATCTGTCCTGCTCCTGCTCCTGCTCCTGCTCCTGCTCCTGCTCCTGCTCCTGCTCCTGCTCCTGCTCCTGCTCCTGCTCCTGCTCCTGCTCCTGCTCCTGCTCCTGCTCCTGCTCCTGCTCCTGCTCATTTCCCTTCCCCTGCATCTTCTCTTGCATCTCCTCCTCCTCGTCCTGTCGTGCGACATCCTTTTGTGCTTCTATCATCGGCAATCTTGTATTCTTTTCTGTAATGAGTTCGTCATCTATTGCAACCTGCTCAACAGAATTCAAAGGAGGCAAAGAGACAGAGGTGACCGAGCCTGTGACAGACGGCGGTCTGCTCCCTCGTACATGTAGGTCTTCACCATCGTGCTGAGCGGTATCCATGAGACGTTTCCAACAGATAGGACGCGCGCTTTTCACCTCAGCATCTCAGCAAACAATCTTGCTCCATCGTTGTATCCCTTGTACATAATCTCAGCACTCTTAGCAGTCTGAGATCAAATTTCAGCCGCACGATAAAGTTTCAGTAAACGCCAAACCTTGTCCCGTCTCTTGCTCCAAATCAACATCGCCAACCTTCCGATTTTCTGTCCATCGTCCTTCCCAATGCATGGGCTTGCTGCAGTCCCTTTCTCACTTGTCCCATCTAAAGTCTCTGGTAAGCCCGGAATGATAACATTTTCGCATGCAGCTTTGAATGCCGTGCCATAGCATTCATCCTCCACGCCCCTTAGCCTGATCAGAAGCCGCAGCACTTGTTCAGTCACGTTTGCTTCATCACTCTGATGGATAATGATCGCAGCGAACGTGTGGGAGGCTTCGACCATTGCTTCGAGGACTGCAGGCGACCGCTTAGCCTGCTCCATCAACTGCTGCTGCATCGCAGATAAAATCGCCATCATATCCGCTACTCCCTCCTGATACTCCTTCTGTTCTGAACTCTCTTGGCATGGCGAAGAAGGCTTGTGGGCACGAGCTTCCTCGGTCGCTTGTCGACCATGCTCGAGAACTTGCCTGATTGTCTTAGCGGCGGCAGCTCGGAGGAGAGTGCGGGTCCTGTGCCGAGCAAGAAGCGACTCAAGGAAAGGTACGAAAGCTCGACGAGCTTTGATTTTCTGAGCAAGATGCTTTTCAACCTCTTGGCGAAGTCGCTCGACCTCTCCTTCTGACTCCATTAATCTCACCCTTGACATGTCCATCTCCCGCAAGAAACGCTGCTCCTGCAAATGTAGAGCATCGGAGATTTGCTGTGAGACATTCCTGGCTTGCTCATCTGAATCTTCACTACATTTCCTTCGTTCTTCGAGCTCGCTAACTCCCACCTGAAGCAGCTCATCTTGGTCATGATTCTCTTCAGGCTGCGTCATCGTCTCTGCGTCCACCTTCATGACTGTCTTGCTTTGCTCTCTTGCCTCAAACATCTCCACCTGATTCTTTAGCTCACTCTTCAGCTCCTCAATCCTTTGTGTAAACTTTTCCTCCAGCAAAATTTGCTCGTCATAAGTTTCTTGAAGGCTCTCGAGCTGTTTGTTGGCTGCATCGAGCTGCCCCTTGAGTTTGCTTGTCGTCTCCAATTGCTTGTCAAATTTCAACTGCCAAGCTTTTGTGTCTCTGAGCGATTGAGCAGAATTTCTCAGGTTTTCCTCTAAATCAGATCGTAGCTTGTGTATCTCAGCCAGCTGACTGTCTCTGTGTGCAACAATTAGTTTCTCCCAAGGATTCTTTTCCATGCTGTCTTCTGACATGCTGAACTTGTCTTTCCTTGTCAAGAGCAAATATGCACGACGATATGCTTCGTCGTTCACACCTGTTTGTTCGTGAAAACTTCTTTGTTGTTGGTCCATGTAGCTCTCGATAGCTTTCTCCCATTCTCGGCTCGCTTTCAAAAGCTCGTCTCTCACTGCAATGCTCGCTGCATCTCTGACTCGCTCCAATTTCTGCCTCCAGACAGCTTCCACCGCTCTGGTGTAAGCATGAATTCGATCCTTCTGCTCGAACATCTCATCTTTCATCTGACTTAGAACATTTGTTTCGAACTCATAACGCAGCAACTGAAGTTCATCTTCGAGCCGCTGAACCTGGACATGCTCTTCGCTCATTCTCTCAGTTTGGGTGGAGGAAGATTGCTGCGAAAAAGAGACGTAAAACGTCGACTTCAAGGGGGATGGTAGGATCCTACCTTTGATGGAGGTTTGGAGCTGAGCTTTTTTGCAGGACTTCTATCCCTGCACCACATGTGAAAACGACATATTAAGACTTGCAGTTGTACCCATCGTGTTGAGATGAAAGAAAAGATTCATCTTCAGAAAACTTCAAAAGCTCCTCAACTGTTTGGAGGTCAAATCACGGAGAGGAGCTTGCAAACATGAACCTGTTTCCTTTGGACGTTTTGCCAACTGTGACCAGAACTTGTCCATTGCCGATTCAGAGTCATCTCCCTCTAACCCGATGCCAAAGTTGATGTCCTAACCACAAACGCTCACACACAACATTCCAGGGCAAATGCGCACATCTCACCTGGTTAATCCTACCGGCCAGCTCGGAGAGTGCAGGCTTATTTTCTCGGTCCTCACTCATTGCATCATCGTCATTGCAATCCGCAGCTGAAAGTTCTCTACTGCATTTCTTCCTCTCTTGTCGCAATTCCGCGCATACACATTCTCCAACATTTGTCAAGACTGATATGATTTACACAACCGACGCGGTCAAATAAAACGGTTTGCCGGAGTGGCGGGCCGCCGACCGTCGGACTCCGACGGTGGGCCCACTGCCAGGATGGGCAGGGGTGATTCTTAGTACTGTCTTTCCTGCACGCGGCACGCCGACGTCGGTCGGAATCCCCGGCCGGGGCCGAGCTCGGAGCGGCCGAGTCCGGCGGAGTGTCAGGCTGCGTGTCACAGTGTGCCACGCCGTGAGACGGAAGCACCAGATGATCGGATCGGATGACTTACTAAGTTAGTACTTTTTATAGTACTACTACAGGCTAGTTGAACGGACCGGGTCACCCGGTAGCAGTACCGCCGTAGTAAACCAGAGCTCAGGGCCGGCCGGGTGCGCGGCGCGGCACTGATCATATCGGATGAGAGGTCGGTCACTGGCCGTATAACTTGACTGACGGTACTTCAGTTTTCAAGCCGCCGAGTCTCTTTCAAGGCCGCCCGCTGAGTCGCCGCGCAGCAAACTCTTTCGGTCATATACTTTACTCATATACCGTACAGTACCGGCTTTCACTTAACTTTGAGTCCGGGCCACGACTCGAGTTACGAGTCACGTTCCGACCGCCGGGCATCACATGATTCAGCGGCTGTGCGGTGTATCTTCTGTATCACAGCCTAGTTGTAATCTTTAGTCGTAATCATGGACTGTGACCCGGCCTCCATAGTGGGCTAGGGGGTCAAAATTTTACTCAAAGTTAATTTAAAAATCAATAATACGAGCGGCTTGTCTCTACCCGTGAGTCCTGGGCCATTTTCCAGTTCGGCCGGATTCTGAATTCCGGGCTGCGGCCGTCCCAACTTTACAAAGCCCTTTTAAACTTATAAGATTTTATGTTTGTCACGGGTCATATGCCTTTCTGCGTTTTTTTTTATAAGTAGCTCCAAACTGTACGGGGGTTTCTAGAAACTTTGAAATCACATAATTGTATTACATTTTATCGGTTTGACTGGAAGATTCAAAAAAAGATACGGCTGGAGCCTCTTTTATTTACAAGTACCCCATCTTTCATATGTTGACTCCACGACATCTGGTGGGTAGTACATATCTTGCTCTCCACCATTTCAAATTTTTGCCTGGGGGATATACTCTTACCACAAGGCTGTGGGGAGGCTGTGCCTCGAAAGGGTGCAGACATGCCGAAGGGGTCCTATTCCAGTTCTTTCAAGCAGAGATGGACGGGTACTCATTGTATCCCAGGGGTCCTGTCACAGGGGGGGGGTGGCGCATGAGAACTCTTCGACAAGCTCTTCTTTGTCGGGTTTGCTCCTACCAGGACAACCCACCCTCCTCTAGGACCTTGCTATATGATAGTACCCCCTCATTTCCCAATTTCACCCATTTCAGAAACAACCCCCCGTCAGCCGAAATGCAATACCCTTGCACATTTTCCCACACACCCGTCCAAAACATGTAAAATGAGGGGGTGGTCAATGGGTGGCATTCTAACTAGAAAGTTTGCACCTATCATGCACGGCAGTCCCGAGCAAGGAGACGGTCCGAGCGATGCAGAGTCTTCGCTCATGAGATGCAAGATCTCACCATGAACATCCTCTGATAGATATATCATCGATGACTGCCAGTGAGAAAATCATGACGTTATCCCTTCTGGGATTCTTCTTTTCTTTCATGGTTCCCTTTTCCATGGCGTCTAACGTAATTGCATGCAATTACACGTTTGATTGTGAATATGCTGGATGCAACAACGTGGCATCACCTACAGGTCGCCCTTTCAAGCACTTCTGCGTAAGTTTCTATTCTTGAATACTTTCAAGTTTCTGAATCTTCTTCTTTTCTACTTTTTGTTCATTTTCGCATCAACAGGGGGTGAGTCAGAGTTTTTGTGCATGACATATTTGATCCCTTGATCCTTGATCCCTTGAACCTTTGATCACTTGATCTTATGGATTAGTTTTTCCATTCTTAGCATTGTGCTGACTTTGTTTTTGCAGCCGGTAAGCTTTTAATTTTGATCTTTTGTACGATTGCACCTATGGTCTGAAATGCACCCTTGGTTTTCCTTCTCTTTGCTCCTTCGTCTCCAGGGGGTAATTCTCATCCTGTTTGAAAACATTTTTTAATCTGACTGGATTGTTTCTCGTTAAACCAAACAGCCTTCATCCTTCAAGAAGAATGTAAGATTCTTGCCTTTCCTTGTTGAACAGTGATCTGATCATTTAATCTTTCGAAATTCCTCTTCTTTGCAGTATGTAAGTCTACATTGCCTTCTCATGAAATTTGAAGCATTTACTTGAATTGCGCTTTCCTCCCGTGGATTCCAACTTTCTTCTATTCAGTGCTTCTACGTAAGTACCACCTGCTTCATTTCTTGAAATTGTGCTTGGCTCACTTTGTGTACAGGACAACCCGGTAAGATCAGTCACATTCGTTTAGTTTGTTGGTACTGAAACTTTTGATTTTAATTGGAATTCCTCCGCTTCTGATTTATTTATAGAATGTAAGACAATGTTTCATCGAATCCCGATAATGATTTGAAATTTTCCAGGTTGTAAGTCCGCAATCCCTGCCTCATACCTTAATACCCTATTCTGACCATTGATCTTGCAAACTATATGCAATTGAACACACAGAGAGTAAGTCGATGTGAAGTGTTCACATTAGTACTAATTGTTTCCCCACACCAGTGTCCCCCTCCTTCTTGCAATGAAAGGCCGAATAGGGCAGACTGTGTATGCGAGCCTGGACATTTCAAGTCACAGCTGTCGTCAACGTGTATGCCGTGCAATCCGGGAACATTTAAAGTGGGATTTGACTCTATGGAATGCATACCGTGCTCGAACAAGCCAGACTCCTCGGAATATTTGGAGATAAAAGGCTCGAGCACGAACTCTTGTCCGTGGACTTGCAATGCTGGGTTCTATCAGTTGGGCTCTGCATGCATGCCTTGTCCTGCTGGACAATACTCTGAAAAAGGATCCACGTCTTGTGTAGATTGTCCAGCTGGGACATTTTCCAAAGGGAACTCTTCAGTGTGTACAAGATGTCAAGAAGGATATGCGTCTGAAGTTGGGTCGAGCTCATGCTGCAAAGTGGTGAACATTTTTGAAGACTTTTGTTTTTTTTTTGGGCATGTTCTTACACAAATACAGATTGTGCGAAACAACACTGTGGAAAAATCTGTGTACCTCAATGTGACAGTTGAAGTGCCAAAGTTCATTAAAGTCAAAGAACAAGTGCCAATAGAGGTGAGTAGCGGACGCATTTCATATCCGCTATGATGCGACTGAAGCAATTTTTGGCAGGTTCAGAAAAAAGTCTATGTGGATGAGGAAAGTGGCAAGAAATATGGGGAGGACCGGATAGTTTATTTGAATCGCACTGTTGAAGTGCCAGTGATTGTAAGACTCCAGCGATTGAAGTTTCTTGTATCCATGACTCATTTGCAGGTGGAAAAATTGTATACATTGATCGTCCTATTGAAAAAATTGTGTACGTGTACAAAACTCCAGTGGATCAAAAGAATCAAAGCAAGGAAAATCATGACAACGAAGACGACAAATCACATGGCGAAGACTCACAAGCTGACGGTAATTTTACAACCCCGGATTTCATGCAGCCACATGTGCCATGGATTGCGCGAAATTAATGCTTCATTCAGATGAAGAAAATGGAGGCGATCAAGAAGATGAAGAAGATGACGAGGATGGTATGAAAAGCTTGCAATTGAACAAATTCACCGATGAACATTCTATAGATGATGAGAATGCTATTGATGATAATAAGCACGAGAGGAACAAAACAAAGGTACACAGACACAAATTGAATCTAACATTGAATTCATTCTGACTATTCAAAGATTAACAACACAGTTTATGTTGATCGAATCATTTACATCACAAAAGAGGTCTACATTAACCGAACAGTCGAATTACCTTGCAACGAGAAGGTGAATTCTGAATTTCATTTCATTCAATCAAAATAAAGGGCGACCTAGGTTGTGTACGTCAACAATACAATTTACAAGGATCGAATAATTGATGTTCCAAGAAATGTGTACATCAACCGGACGGTGGAGGTGCCAACGCTGGTGTACGTGAACCGGACGGTGGAGGTGCCGACGGTCGTATACGTCAACCGGACGATCCGAGAGCCGTACGAGGTGTACATCAACCGGACGGTGGAGAAGGAGGTTGTGGTGTACATCAACCGGACGGTGGAGGTACCGAAGGAGGTATTCGTGAACCGCAGCGTAGACAAGGTACGGAGGGAGGAGAGGAGGTGGCGGGGAGGCACGAGCACGGGGCGGAGAGACTGACGGCTTGGGGTGGGGGGCAGGTTGTATACGTGAACAACACGATCTACGTGCCGACGGAAGTGTACATCAACCGGACGGTGGAGGTGACCAAGGTAGTGTACGTGAACCAGACGGTGGAGGTACCGACGGTCGTATACGTCAACCGGACGATCCGAGAGCCGTACGAGGTGTACATCAACCGGACGATCATGGAGCCTTGCGAGACCAAGGTGAGGGAGGGAGAGCGGGCATTGCTGGGGGCACGTTTGAGGACGTTGGGGGTATTGGAGGGGGAGGGGGGGGGGCAAGGGGGCGAGAAAGGGAGGAAGGGGAGGGGAGGGGTGTGTGCGAGAGTGTATTGGGGAGAGATCTCGCAACGAAGTGTGTGACGGGCGTGTTTTTGTACTGGGTGGGGACGATCGGATCAGACGGTGTATGTCAACAACACGGTGTACGTGCCGACGGAAGTGTACATCAACCGGACGGTGGAGGTGCCAACGCTGGTGTACGTGAACCGGACGGTGGTTGTTCCTGTTGAAGTGTACATCAACCGGACGATCCGAGAGCCGTACGAGGTGTACATCAACCGGACGGTGGAGGTCCCTGTAGAGGTGTACATCAACCGGACGGTGGAGGTGCCTGTGGAGGTGTACATCAACAACACAGTGTACGTACCCAAGGAGGTGTACATCAACAGGACGGTGGAGGTGCCTGTGGAGGTGTACATCAACAACACAGTGTACGTACCCAAGGAGGTGTACATCAACAGGACGATCATGAAGCCTTGCGAGACCAAGGTGAGAGAGGGAGAGAGAGGACGGGCTTGTCTGGGAGGAAGGGGCTTGGGGCTGAGAGAGGGAGGGAAGGAGAGGGGAAGGGCAGAGGAGGAAAGGGGCTTTGGGTTGCTTTACAAGTACGAGTGTGTGACGGGCGTGTTTTTGTACTGGGTGGGGACGATCGGATCAGACGGTGTATGTCAACAACACGGTGTACGTGCCGACGGAAGTGTACATCAACCGGACGGTGGAGGTGCCAACGCTGGTGTACGTGAACCGGACGGTGGAGGTGCCGACGGTCGTATACGTCAACCGGACGATCCGAGAGCCGTACGAGGTGTACATCAACCGGACGGTGGAGAAGGAGGTTGTGGTGTACATCAACCGGACGGTGGAGGTACCGAAGGAGGTATTCGTGAACCGCAGCGTAGACAAGGTACGGAGGGAGGAGAGGAGGTGGCGGGGAGGCACGAGCACGGGGCGGAGAGACTGACGGCTTGGGGTGGGGGGCAGGTTGTATACGTGAACAACACGATCTACGTGCCGACGGAAGTGTACATCAACCGGACGGTGGAGGTGACCAAGGTAGTGTACGTGAACCAGACGGTGGAGGTACCG